ACCCCCACCCCCGCGCGGGGACCGGAGTCTCAGGCCACCGCAGGGAGAAAGACGACAGAGGACAGGGGCAAAGGTGGGGAATAAAGCAGCTTCCTGGACAAATCCAGCTTCCTAGGGCTTCTGAGTCTGGGGACCGAGGGGGTCTGAGGCCCTCCGGGCTCAGGCCCTATTTGCTAGGGCGGGAGTGGGGTGGGTTGAAGATGAAGCTCTACAGCCAGGACTGTCTCCCTCCGGGAGCTCAACTTTGGGGTTCGGGCTCTCTTCCAGTTGCTGGTCACACTGATATGTTTGAAGCGTGTTAGCCTGGAGAGCATATCAGGCTCCTCCCCCTGAGCCATCCAGTCCACAGGGATCCCATTTCCCGCCCTTTGCCCCGTTCCCGGATCCGACCCGGGCGCTGCAGCTGCGCCCTGCAAGTCGCTGGGAGGCGAATCCCAGGAGGAAAGGGGGAGCCTCCACAGGGCCTGACTCGACGCTCCCCCGCTCCGCTTGCACACACAACTTTTCCGGCTTCAGACTTAGGACGCGTGTGCGCACGCTCGGCTGCTGGGGGCGGGGCGAGAAGGGGGCGCGCGGTCTGGGGAAGATGGGGCCTGGCGGCGCGCGAGCGGGGTCGACGTGGGCGCGGGCGGTGCTGGGCGTGGGGGCGGGGTCCCTTGCTGGCTGGGCGGTGATACTGGCTGGTATGGCGCCTCCTCCACTTTCGCCCTGTTTGCTTCTCCTGGCAGCCCTGGCGGGGCTCCTGGGTCCCAGCGAGGTAAGGCGCCCCACTCGTGGGAAGGCTTCGACCCCGAGATCTCAAAGCGCTTCGCCAAAAGTTCGTCCTGGAAGGAGTGGCGCCCCGAGAGGAGACTAAGTGTCCTCTCCACCCCCAACCCGTGGGCCTGGGAAGGGAGAGAGAAGGTAGGGCCCTCGCTGAGGCCAGCGCCCCAGCTCTGCGCCTTGGACCCACAGGTGGTGGCTGAGCTGGCGGAGGAGGCTGGAGCCCGTTGTCCTGAAGGTCTGTGGCCTCTGCCCCCACAGGTAGGGGCCCCGAGGGGCCGAGGGAGAGAGGGGTGCGAACGAGTAGCGCAGTCCGACTCTGGACTCCCTGTACACAGTCACCCTGTGGGGACCTCTGCTGGTTCTTCCTGCCTTCGGTTGCTAACTTCTCCATCCCAGCATAGATCTTGGGGCCCGGTGTCCCCTCTCCACTCCACACATGCAGTGCCCCAGCTGCTCTAAACACTCTTCTTTTCCCATGTGTAGGTGTTACCAAAAGTGACCTACACTCGAGTGAGACCAGGGCAGGTAAGTACAAGCAGGGTCCATCCTTGCTATCTGTGCCTTCCTGCTCATCAGGTCCCTTCCTTACCGTTTCCTGCAGAAAGAGGCAAGGCACACTATTCAGAACTGATTGCTTTATCACAGCAACCCTCCCTGCTTGGCTTCTCTGGCCATAAATTAACTTCATCTTCATCTTCAGTTCCTCTCAGTCATACTCTGCTTACCACACAAGTGAATGCCAGGCTCCTTACCACTGCTGTACCTTTGCTCCTCTTTATTCTACATACCTGTCCTATCCTGACCTGAAGCATGCATCTCCTGCCCTCCTGCCTCTCATCCCCATCCGTTTTGTTTTCTTTTTCTTTTTTTTGGAGACAGGGTCTCACTATGTAGTTCAGGCTGGTCTTGAGCTCACTATGTAGCTCAGGCTGGTCTCAACCTTGTGGCAATCCTCCTGCCTCAGTCTCCCGAGTGCTGGGATTACAGGCATCCACCACCATGTCCAGCAGGTCCATCCATTTTCACAGCCCAGTGTAGGAGTTGACTCCCCCTGAGACCTTATCTGATCATATCAGCCTGTCTTTATCCCCTTCTTTGTATTTCTGTAATACTCATAACCTGTCTCTTACACTTTAACAACTCACCACTTTGTGCTTTATTAGTTTGCCCTTTCATTTGTATTAGTTCCCAGTATTGGGGATTGAACCCAGGACCTTCACACTGAACTATATCCCCAGCCCTTTTTTAGTTTTTGTTTGTTTTGTTTTTTGAGACATATTCTAAGTCACTGAGTTACTGAGGCTGGGCTTGAACTTGCAGTCCTCTTGCCTCAGCCTCCCAGATTGCTGGGATTACAGGAATGCACCATTGCACCTAGCTACTGGGTTTCTTACACATTTCTGTAGGCAGAGTCTAGGAGTTCTCTTTTGGTATCTCCTCCAGCATGCTGAGCACTGGGTTATGACTGATGAAGTGTTTCATTCTGCAATTGTGCACCTGCTGCCTGTGTGCCTCATATTTGGATCCTCTTGGGAGACTGACTATATAGATTAGATTGACAAATGGAGAAGACTTGGTCTTGGGCCAGGGATTTAGCTCAGTGGTGCCGATGCCTGCCTCACAACCACAAGGTCCTGAGTTTGATCCCTGGTACACCCCCCCCAAAAAACCAAACAAACTTGTTTCTTGGGCTGGGGATTTAGCTCAATGGCACTGTGTCTGCTTCACAAGCGCAAGGTCCTGAGTTCGATCCCCGGTACCAGAAAACCCCAAAAAACAAAAGACTTGGTTTTTATTTGAGGGGTGCTTATGGTCTAGATTGCAGATCGACACACCCATTATTGGAGGGGCAGAGAAATAAAGTGTAGTCTAACAGGATCGCCTAGGCATTCTGTTTGCTCAAATGCTCAGCTTTGAGAGGTGACACTTGTTGCAGAGGGGAGTAAGGGGAACACTCAGAAGCAAAGGCAGTACCTAGGGCCCTTTACTCTTTCCTGTGCCCTGAAAGTGGGAGGGGCCACCTGGCTATGCTGGGCGGTCACTTTTCACTGGCCCCTAAGATTGGAGAGCTTGTGATTCTCTGGGAGGTACCTGGGCCTGTGTTGATGTTTCTGGCTTTCCTCCAGGTTGAAGCTGTCACCTTCCTCTATCACCCCTGTGCCCATCCCTGGCTGAAGCTCCAGCTTGCCTTCCTGGCCCGTGTTTGTGTGGCTAAGCCCTTGCTCAAACCTGACTCCAACCTCACTCGGGACAGGGTAAGTGGTTGATGAAAGATAGTTGTCTGGCCATGGCAGAAGGGTGCAGCCCCATGTGGAGGGAAAGGAAAATTCAGGGGCTTCCCTTTGCTTGCTCCCTACCTTCATCTTAGCTCTCAAAGTTACCTTGTTTCCTAGCCCCTGGTGCTGACAGCATGGAGGATGGCACTGGAGATGGCCTGGGTAGAGCCAACCTGGGCTGCCTACTGGTTAAAGAGGCAGTGGAGGAAGCAGAGGAAGAAAGTATGGTTCTACTCTGACAGCCCTGCTCAGCCCTTTCCATCGGTGCCAAGTCACAGCAGAGGGAGGCTGTGCCCAAGAGGGTGTATGCAGGTGAGGCATGGGGGGCCCATTCTTGGAGGGGTGTCAGGATCACTGGGTTACCTGAGCAGGGCAGGAGTGACCGACCACTGTCTTTTCTCCCCTTAGGTCCCAGCTTTGGCCTTTGCTCTGCGCAGCTGGAGGCCTCCTGGCACAGAGGTGCCACCTACAGGGCCTAGGCAGCATTCTTCCAGTGGTGCCAAGAGACGGGGGCTGCGAGCTGCCCTGGGTCTCCAGTCCACTCCTGCAGGCCTGAGGGTTCCTTTTGCTTCCCCGTGGAGTTTAAAGGCCCGACAGCCCATTTTAGGAACTCAGGGTGAGGGGGCTAATGCCCCATCTGTGCCTTCACTCCCTCTGTCACCTGGGGGACCAGGAGGCAATGCAAGCACCCGGACAGAGGGTCAGATACCCAAAGCCCATGGCAGCCCAGGGGGGTGTACCTGCCCGACTCAGGCTTCTCCTGCCCCTCGGGCAGCAGCGCCTCCACGGGTAGCCCTGGGCCCCACCCCACGCACGGAGGAGGCCGCCTGGGCTGCCATGGCCCTGACCTTCCTGCTGGTACTGCTCACACTGGCCATGCTCTGCACACGGCTCCATCGAAATTTCCGCCAGGGGGACAGCATCTACTGGGGGCCCACAGCGGACAGCCAGGACACTGTAGCTGGTAAGACCTTTCCTTCCCACCCACTACCCTACTTGCCCAAGTTCAGCCCAATGGCTTCCCTGCCTTTGACGGCTCCCCCTTCCCACAGCTGTGTTGAAGCGGAGACTGCTGATGCCCTCGCGCCGGATCAAGCGCTACCGCCGGAGACCCCTGCTCCCCCCTATGCCAGACAGTGGCCCAGATGGGGAGAGCTCAGACTGACCTGCCCCAGCCCTGCCGCTGGCTCGGAGGGCTCCTCCTCTGCTGTGCGGCCACGGCCTCTGCCACGTGGGCCGCACGCAGGGGCGCCCCCTGGCGGCAAACGAAGAAGCCCTGCTACGCATTGCAGAAACTCTGCCACCTTGACTTGTGGGTTGCAGGAGTGGCCAGAGGAAGAGGAGCTGTTCCTGACCCCCCTTGCCCAAATTCGTTTCTAATTAAATTATTTTAGTAGAGTCCAGAGTTGAGCCTGTGCATCTGTCACAAATACACGCTCCGCTAGGATACTAGGCCTGGTCCTGTGCCCCCTCCACCACCACCTTAGGCTTCTAGGGATGTTATTGGGATGGTGGTATTCCCTATGCAATTTATTTCCCAGCTACTCTTCCGGAGGACAGATACCTCCAACACGGGCTTTCCTGGTACCGGGTCTTTGCACACTTGGAGTCTTCATTTGGTTTGTCTTTCTTTCATGTCTGCCTTCCAACTCCTCCCAACTCCTGATTCTCTAAGCATCAGACGCACCACATGGTCACTTATTTATTTTTGATACAAATGTACATGACACACATCTTGACAGTCCACCCACCACCACACAGGTAGGGCTGGCCCCCTGGGGGGAGAGGTGGGTCAGGAAGAGCTGGTGGGTGCTGCTGTCAGCCTCTCCAGCCTTCCCAGGCTGCACTCAGGTCCCCAGGCTTCCAGAGGGTGGGGCCACCTTAGGTGCAGGTAGTGATGGTGGGTGCTGGCCTCGCAGAGGTTATGGGGAGGGGCTCTCAGGTCCACAGCCACCAGCTAAGTTGGGGACCCCGGGGAGCCAGCCCCAGGTGCTCAGCCCTCTGCCTGGCCAGCACTTTTCCCTCTACAAAGGAGGGGAAGGAGAGATGGAGGGAAGTGGTTTTCCTTTTAAATTCATAGATTAGGGGTACGAGTGGGGGCTGTGATGAGAAGAGGCAGCATGAAGACCACAGCTGGTGACCTCCTCAGTCTCTGGTCGCAGGTGGGGGAGAGGAAGATAACCCCCAATGCTGGTCCCATTGCTCTGGTCCCCTCGCCCTCAAAGCTCCAGATGGGCCAGGCCTCCTGAATGGCACTGTTGCCCACACACTCACACGCAGGCACGCAGGGACACTCAGTTATCACAAAGTTAAAATTAAGGGGTTAGGGAGAGGAGAAAAAAAAGATTTTCCAGTGTTTGCTGCTGGGGACCCCAACACACTGGTTGGGGCCTGTGCCCTAGGCAGGGGCCGTTTGGCATTAGAGGAGAGCAGCAAGAGGGCTGGTGGCTACAGGGCGGGGACATCCACAGAGATATGTACAAAGGAGGGGGGATGCCCCCACTCAGCCCCCAATAGGGCTGAACTGGCTCAAGGGGGTAGGCTGCACATAGGGGAGCAGTCCCATTTGGAGTATCCCTGTCCAATCCTTACTGAAGGCCAGGGGCTGGGAGTGATGCCTTGCAGTCCCCTGCACACAGAAAGGGTGGGATGCTATGTACAGGGTAGAGGTGCATGGAATGTGGGGGACAGAAGCTCCTGTCACCCCACCTCCCCATCCTTGGGGCTCGAGGGGAGTGGGCACCAGGGCGCCTGGCTGCCAGGGGAGAGTGGCAGCGCTAAGGGCACTTGTGCCAGTGGCTCTGTTGGGGTGGGTTAGTGTCTGGAGTGGCCCAGCTCCCATAGCCAGTGAGGTTCCAGGGTGTGGGTGAGGGCAGGGAGTGTAGTCACTGCTTCTTCTCTCGGGTGGTAATGGTGACCAGCTGCTTGGCAGCCTTGGCAATGTCATAGGCGCACTGGATCACCTGCTGAGTTAGCAGCTGGAAGTCCACAGGGGCACCAGGCTCTGGGGGCACTGTCTTCCGGCACTCACTCTGCAGCCGGTAGGCGCTGGCATTGAGTAGCCGAAGAGAGCTGCGCACAGGCTCCAGGGCTGGCCTCTGGAGGGAGGGAAGGAGGGGGGAGGCCAGGCCTTGGACTTTAAGCCACGTGGCCCAGCAAGTACATATCTCCACCCAGGCAACAGATTCCCTATGCCTGCCCCACCCTGAGGCACTTCTGCTCCTGTCTGACCCCTGTACCTTTGGGAAAAGAGAGGCCATCTCAGTCACAGCCAAATGGATCTTCTCTGAGCAGGGCACAAAGCTGTGGGGGGAGGGGATGGATGGATGAGGGCGCTCTCCAGGAAGGGTCCCAGGGACAGAGGAACGACCCCCTTTGCCACCCTTACAGCACCCAAGGTGTCCAGGCCCACCCCATTCACACATACCTGTCATGTTTGAACTCCTGGGCTGCCCTCAACAGCTCCTGAATGTTCTTGGTGACCTGTTCTGTCTTCAGGATGACATCCTCAGTGCTGGGGAGCCCAGGATCTAGGTCCCCATCCAGGCTTTCCAGCTCAGGGTGGAGATCGTCCTCCTTGCCCAGCTCTAGGAACCGCTTCCCTTCCAGCCTGAGTCCCAGTGTGAGAAGAGAAAGCTGATCCAGCCCCAGATGCTTGCCTGCAGACACCAGGGCCCTCTCAACCTCCTTCCCTCCAGGTGCTATCAGGACTGGGTAGACCCAAGGGAGCCTCACCCTAGCAGCGGGTCCCCACTCTGCGTGTTCTCGTAGTCACTGTCAGCACCGCTGCCATGGCGGGAAAGCTTGCTCTGAAGGGCATGGGGAAGGGCTGAAGGTAAGTGTGCATTCCTGGGCGCACACAGCCTGCGCCCCACACTGTCCCCAGGAGCACTGGGCTGGAAATGTTACCGCATGACGGCTTCCTTCCTGGGAGCAGGACAGCAGTGGAGAGGAGGGAGTGAAGGGCACAGCTGAGGCAGACACCCCCTTCCGAATCTGAAACCCGGAAATAGGACCAAAGTCAGTCTCTTCTCTCCTCTCCACCCCCAGCTTCCAGCACAGCCTGACACCTACTGGAACTCAAAACCTAGTGGCTACAGTGGATCCACCTTTCCCAGGTCCAGCTTACCCGGTAAAGGCCAGCAGGGACATGCACTGAGTAGATGGCGTCATCCTCTAGCTCCTGTGGGTGGGAGTAGCACAATGGACATCAAGACAGGCCCTATGGCAGGCGCGTCCCTGTTTCCCCACCCAAGATCCACAGGTAACTCACAGTACTGTGAAAGGGCTGTAGCCTCGTGGTAAGCTCATCCCCAGGTGCACCCCCAAAGGGCTTCAGAGAAGAGCCTGGCTCATACATGGAGAAGGCCTGGCGGTCCCGGCGGTGGGTGCTCCCACCAGGCCCCATGGGTGTGTGTTCTGCCCGTTCACTGGGGAGTGGGGGTGTGGGCACAGGCCCCGGTGGCTGCCGGAGCTGCAGGTTTTCTGCTTGCAGCTTGTGGATCTGTGAGTGCACACAGGGGTATCCAACTCTGGGTCTGGGCAGGCACCGCACCCCCCGCTCCCAGGTCTTGAACTCCCTACCCCCAGGCTGCAGCCCTCACCTCCCTCTGTAGTCTCTGAAGTTCATCACTCAAGCTGCTGTTGACCTTCATGAGCTGCTGCACTTTGGCCTCGGAGGTAGCCAGGGCCTTCTTCAGCTCCAGGTACTCCTGAAGCGTCACAGCCCCATCGGACAGGTCTGAGGAGTCCATACTCTGCACAGAGAGACAGAAACTGATCAACCAGGTGGGTAGGGAACAGATGCCCTTGAAGGTGGGACCAGCCCACTTGTGTCCAAGGCTCTGTACGACAGAGCTGGGGCTTCCTGGGGACAGAAGGGGATGGGTAGGGACAGTGCTCAGACCCGGGCGCGGTTGTTCCGAGTGGCACCGGCGCTGCGTAGTGGTTCTTGGTCCGTGTCCTCATCGGAGGCCACACTGTCATAGTCGTGCTGGTCGTCAAGGTCACTCTGGCTTCTTGCAGACAGCTCCAGGTTCTCTGAGGACACAAGATCTGTTGTTCAGGGTTCACTCAGCCCTAGAATGCATTTTTCATGCCCCCGTGCAAAGGGAGCCACTGAGGAGAATATCCTTGGACGATGATGCCCACAACCCTGCTCGGGCCCTTCCACCTGTGGGGCTGCTCAGGCTCTTGCCCTGCTGTCTCCGCTTGGCCTCACTGAGAATGTCGATGATCAAGGTGGCAAACTCCCGGGCATTAAAGCGGGCCAATTTCTGTCGCCCCTGCAAGGCAGAAAGGACCAGGCCAGCGTGAGACAAGGGGCTCCTTATGTCAAACCCATGGGGGTGAGGACAAAGCAGCAAGGCAATGCCTTGTCATCTGATCTAACCACAAGTAAAAAATTCCACCCTTACTTCACCTGGGTAGTCAGATATATATCCCAAGGCTAGGCCAGGCCAACACACAGGGACCCTTGGATAGAGGCCGAATCACCACCTGAGGCTGCTCACCAGCCACACAAAAGGATGGCCTCTTCCCCATTCCAGAAAGTGAGGGCCAGCCAGACCCCGAGGGAGGCCCCAGCAAAGGGTGGAGGGCTGACCTGGGACTGCCCACAGCAGGCTGAGGAAGAACAGGGCTCCCAAGAAGGGAGGAGACCACCTAGGTTCCCTACCCAGCCCTCTCACCTGATTCCGTGTGGCTGAGTATTCAGGGTTAACTGGCAGGAAGGGCACGGCACTACGCTCTGTCACCAGGGTGCTGTGGTTTTGGGTAGCCAGCCACACTGTGGAGGGAAGGGAGCAGATCATCTGCCATGGCAGGGCCTCCAGGGTGGAGGTGGGGAAACACTATCCCTCCCACACCACACCCACCAAGCTGGCGGAGCTGGTGTCGGACTCAGGGGTGATCTTCAAGCACAAGAAGCCAGGCTGGGCCAGGGCAAGGATGGGTGAGGCCACTGGCAACTGAGGAGCGTAACAAGGCCCGTTCTGCCAGGCCAGACCCAGAGTTTGGGCTGGAACTTGGCTGTGGCTGGAAAGGAGTGACGCAGGGGGGGCGGAGCAGGACTGGGGCAGCAGCCAAAGTGGGAGGCGGCCAGAGCAGCAATGAGACTTGTCCAGGGTTGGGGGAGGGGTGGGCTGGCTCCCTCCGGCTCAGCACACTGCCCAGTGAGGAGCTGCCAGGCAGGCTCACAGCTGGTACAGGCTCACCAGCAGGCAGGGCTCTGAGAAGCCCCAACTCCAGCCACCTCTTTGTAGTTCCACTAAAAGACCTGAGACCCTTCTTCATAGGCCCCTCCACCCAGGCCTCATATGCCAACCCCTACTCACCAGCATCATTTTCTCTTCTGTCCACCTCATCATAGACGTCCATGGCAAGTTCTTCAAAAAGTCGGTTG